ATAATAACAATAAAAAGCCCATTCTATTTAGGAATTGGAATATAAGGATGACCTCAGTAACTACAGGAAAAAGCTGAACAGCTTTTTGGCATGTACAGTGAAAAACGAAGACAATCAAGAACCTTCCATCCTTTTGCATTGGTACCAGCGAATTAGAGGTTAAAATCCTACACATGGATTAGAGTTATTTTTTTCAGTTTTTTTTTATTCTGATGATATAAGCAATACATGTTCACTGCAGAAATTTTGCAAAAACACAGAATAAAAAACATTACTCTAATTCTGTCACCAGAGACAGCCACTGTTAACATTTCTTCTCACTACTTTTAGGCTCAGTTAAGTTTTAGTCTTTTACTTAACTCTTAAGCTATTTTTCTTGGTTTATATTGGAAAGTTTATTTTATTTTTTTTATATTGGAAAGTTTAAAAGAGATTATTTCAGGACTGCTTGAGAGAACAAAGAACATGAATTACAATTGGAATGGTACTTGTTAAATGCAATAAAAATTTGAGATGCTGTTTTTATTGTTGCTCATGTGAGCAATCACCTCCTCAGGAAGCTGGTCCTAATCTTCTCCAGGTGGCTGCAGCCTCTAACCTAGAAGCTGTGAGGCCTCTTTTCTTATTCTCCTTACACTAATTCACGTACATATTTTTATCCTACTAGGAGGAGGCCACACTCGAACCCCTGAAGCCTCACTGCCAAGGGACAGTTAGGTTGACTTGAATTGAATGAAAATCTATATGCAGAATGGAGTTTTTTTCCCCGCAGCTTGTGAAATACCATTTAGATCACATCACCTTTGAAAGCAAGCAAGGACATTTAATGATTTATTCCTTTGTTTATTTGTTTAATTAATTCATTAATATTTTTATTATTATTATTTTTTAAAAGATTTTATTTCTTCATCCATGAGAAACAGAGAGAGGCAGAGACATAGGCAGAGGGAGAAACAGGTTCCCTGTGAAGATCCTGATGTGTTACTTGATCCCAAGACCCTGGCCTGGGGATCACGCCCTGAGCCAAAGGCCAGACACTCAACCACTGAGCCACCCAGGCATCCTTCACTTATTTTTTTAAAAAGATTTTATTTATTTGTAGAGAGCAAGAGAGCATAAGCAAAAGGAGTGGCAGAGGGAGAGGGAGAAGGAGAAGCAGGCTCTCCTCTGAACAGGGAGCCCGAAGTGGGGCTTGATCCCAGTACCCTGGGATCATGACCTTAGCTGAAGGCAGATGCTTAACTGACTGAGCCACTCATGTGCCCTATTCCTTTGTTTAAGAAACACATTGACCACTTTCTGTGTGTCAATCACCGAGCTAGGCATCACCACCTCAAAAAAATACACACTTCTTGTCCTCAGGGAACTTGAATTGCTTAATAAGAGAAAAAGAGAAGTAACCAGGGATTATAATAAATGACATAACAGTACAGTGATGTCCCAAAGGGGGTGACCAGAACTGACCAGAGAAGGCATCAAGAAGAGGGGATGATTAGGGCGCCTGGGTGGCTCAGTTGGCTAAGGGTCCCGACTCATGATCTCAGCTCAGGTCTTGACCTGAGGGTCAGGAGTTAAGCCCTGTGTTGGGCTCTGCACTAGCCTACTTTAAAAAAAAAAGAAGAAGAAGAAGGAGGAGGAGGAGGAGGGGAAGGAGAAGGAGAAGGAGAAGAAGAAAGAAGAAGAGATAATTGAGTTGGATCTTAATGGAAAAGTTGGAGATTTTTCTCATGCAAATGGGAAGTGAGCACAGTATGTCTGATATGTGAAGACACGCAGATGTATACCTCTGGGGAAGTAGAGGTAGTTTGGCCCATCTGGAACATGAGATATATTAAAAATGGCAAATGAGGGATCCCTGGGTGGCCCGGGATCCCTGGGTGGCACAGCGGTTTGGCGCCTGCCTTTGGCCCGGGGCGCGATCCTGGAGAACCCGGGATCGAGTCCCACGTCGGGCTTCCTATGCATGGAGCTTGCTTCTCCCTCTGCCTATGTCTCTGCCTCTCTCTCTCTCTGTGTGTGTGTGCGCCTATCATAAATAAATTTAAAAAAAAAAGGCAAATGAAGGAATGTCAGAGCTTGGACTTAATCTTACAGGCTCTGGGAAGCCTCAGGGATTTTAATCAGGAGCAAAGCCACAGTGAGGTATATTTTTCCTTTGGAAAGAATAGCAGCGGTACAAAGGCTGATGGAAGTGGGCCACATTGAGGGCAGGGGTGTGGTTAGCGGCTATCAGAACAACCCAGCGAAAGTGGTAAGCAGATGTCCAGAAAGGCAAATTTATAGAAACAGTAAGTGAACCAGTCAGTGTTTGCCTGGGGCCGAGGTGGGAACGGGGCGGGACTGTAAATGGACATGAGGGATCTTGGAGTAATGGAGATGTCGAAAAATTGCATGTGGTGATGGTTGCATAGCTCTGTAAATTCTCTAAAAGTCATCGAATTGTACATTTTATTTTTATTTTTTTTAAAAGACTTTTATTTATGCATGAGAGACATAGAGAGAGAGAGAGGCAGAGACACAAGCAGAGGGAGAAGCAGGCTCCATGCAGGGAGCTTGACGTGGGACTCGATCCTGGGTCTCCAGGATCAGGCCCTGGGCTGAAGGCGGCACTAAACTGCTGAGCCACCGGGGCTGCCCGAATTGTACATTTTAAATGAGTGAATTTTATAGTATGTAAATTACACCTCAATAAAGCGCCTTAAAAAAAAAAAGAGAGAGAAATACAGGGTTCTCTTCTGGAAGGGCAGTAGCATTGAGAGAAGACAGATGTGTGAAACGTTGATAAAGAAGTAGAATTTGGGGGCAGCCCTGGTGGCTCAGCGGTTTAGCACCGCCTTCAGCCCAGGGCCTGATCCTGGGATCTGGGATTGAGTCCCACATCGGGCTCCCTGCATGGAGCCTGCTTCTCCCTCTGCCTGTGTCTCCCATGAATAAATAAATAAAATCTTGAAAAAAAAAAAAAAGTAGAATTTGTAAGAGACATTGATTTTACCTCACAGAGATAGGATGGTCACCTGTCTGACCAGCCAAGTGACCTACCTGTGCTTTTGCAGTTTTGTAAAAAAAAAAAAAAAAAAAAAAAAAAATCAACCCTACCATCTACTTGGTAGGTTTCAAAGCATGTGGATCTGCCCTTAACTGTCAGTACAGAATATTGCCTCTGGATCCTTATCAAAAGCCGTATCCTCCAGCTGTCTGCCACCCTTTTTCTTTGTAAACACTTGGCTGCAAGACAAAATATTTTATGAAGGCTTGCCCAAAGGATCTGTGGCCCATTCATTTCTCTGGGCACGGTTATTCAGTCAATGGTTATTGAGTGCCAGGGGTTCTGCTGGTAATGGAGCAGGAGACAAAGCAGGCAGAGTGTCTGCCTTTATGGGGCTGATAGTCCAGCAGTGGGCACAGACGTTACTTACAGTTAAGATAACTATTGCATTGGATTTCCTTGTACAATGAGAGAAAATGACATCAACCTAAGATCTGAAGGATAATGCTAGGGTGGGAGTGTGGCTGTAGATCCTGGTCCTCTATGCATCCAGCTGGCTTTCATTGGTGGTGAGTGAACCTTTGGAATATGATCCCTTTTGAGTCTGGGGTATCTGGGGTTGTCTTGGGCCTTAAATTATCTTGGTGTTCCTTATAATTGCTTTTATTGAACTGTTCATTGGCTTTATGCCATCATTTTGTATGAGCCCCTGTTGGAAGGAATAGCCATACAAGATTCACACTTACTTATTATAGACATGCTGTAGAAGCTACAGTCTTCAACATCATATGGCACCCCCCTTTTATTATTAGGACCCACAAAAGAAATTTCTTTCTGATGACTGTTTAGTATTTACTAAATACTGTTGAGTATTTTGGTCTTTTAGTTGCTCTGCTCTGCTGTGCTTCAGGTCTCCACACATGAGACATGGCATTCTCTTTGAATGCGTCATTCCATTCTTGTTAGGTTTAATCCCTACTTCCCTTCACCTGTGAGTTCTAATTTTTATGTTTTAAGTAGGCTCCACACCCGGCATGGAGCCCAACATGGGGCTCGAACTCACGACCCTGAGATCAAGACTGAGCTGAGACCAAGAGTCGGACGCTTAACTGACTGAGCCCTCTAGGTGCCCCCCTAGGTCTGGTTCTTAATGGGAATGTTCACAGCACCCTTTTTTACTTCATCAGCTTTTAATCAGATGCTTTTGTTGTTTGGCAACTTTTTTTTTGTCTCTTAGACTAATCACAGGGAGATCTGTGAGGGTAGAGAGCATGCTTGTTTGCTAGCTGCTGTATCTCAAAGTCATTGTCTGATATCACGCCCAATAAATATTTACTGAATGGCCAAATGAATGCATGGTGGGCACCAAGTCTTGTAGCTGTTTATTTTCTCCTTTCCTTTGGTGGTTTGGGAGCTCCAGCCTTCCTGATCCTGCTTCTGGCGTATGTGTCCTCATGGCATGCGTGTTGTGTACTAACATTCCCCTGACCATATCTTTCCTTTCTTGACTTCTTCATTTTTAAGTTCCAGTGTGTACTATAAATTCCTGTAGGCCACTCTAAGTCCTTTTGGGAAAGAAATAATCAACACTTGGGTATAAGAGGAGAAAAAGGAAGGGAGAATCAAAGGGGAATGTTAGTGCCTTTAACCAGATGCAGGAGAGATGTTTTCTTTTGCATTGCTTTAATTTTATTTTCATTGTAAGAAGGAAAAAAAATATAAATGTCTCCCCTAATTTGGCAGGAAATACCTCTGAAGAATGTGGGGCCTGTCTCTGCCCTGAGATGTTTTTCCCAGTGGCAGGAGGTGAGGGGTGGGGCTCGGCAGGGCCTCCTGGATGGGTGGACGGTGGGCATGGACCCGTGGAAGCTGTCTATACAGCTCAGTTTCCATCCAGTTGACTTTCCCTCCAGGGAGGGTTTGGGCAGAGTCGGTGGGAGCTTGGTTTTTGGTTTTTGTTTTTGTTTTTCCCTCTAAGAAGGAGAAAAAATGAACTTGTCCTCTTGTGTTGCAGATTCAGTGGTTCTTTCCTTTGACTCCGCTGGACAAACACTAGGCTCAGGTACCAATCCTTCCACCTCTATCCTTTGGGCACGCAGCACTTGGCCACATTTGAAGTGGAGCCTGGTGAGGTTGGGCAAGGGAGGTATCTGGGGAGGGCAGTGGCATACCTCAGAATTGTGGGAAAGTCTTCAACTTTTCTGGGGACTCATGGCCTACAAAGTGGGATGCAACATCCAGAAGATTTTGTCAGTTGCTTTAAAAGTGGGCACTGAAGGGTAGATGCTCCCTCCTTATTCAGAGTGTTCCAGGTTCGTATAAAGGGTGTGTATTTTCTGAGCACATATCCTGGCCCAGAGAGCGGGGCAGGCAGAGAGCATGAAGAGACCCCAAACTCCGGGTATGCTAGAGTAGGTAATCATCAGAGCTCTCCAGCAAGATATAGCTTCCTGGGAATATACACCATTGCACGTTTACATGGACATCCCATATGCTCGGGTACACACGTCCTCCAGGATGACAACCCATGTGCAGGCCAACATGCTCCCTCTCTCTTCCTTGTGTCCACATGCAAGACACAGATTGACCTACCCGCACCTCTGACACCACATCAGCCAGGCTCGGTGGAGCTTGGCTCTCCCATGTCTGAGGCAGTCGGCCTGCTGCGTATCACTGTGCTGTGGGCAGTGAGCAGAGAGACACGTTACTTTGATTCTTCAACTTGCAGCCATTAGGTTTGCATGGGAGCCCCGGGATGACTTGACTTTGTGAGGAGGACACCTCCGGGCGTCAGGCCTGCATTTTTAGTTGAAGATGGTAGTTCTTGTATGGTGGGTGCTGCCTGTGAGAGACTTTGCTGGCCTACTGAGGGCAGTTAATCCATTTAGTTGTCCTTGAATGCAGTCGACTGATGTTTCACAAAGCAGCCATGAGGTTCAGGCAGTCGTGGCAATGTGGGCAAGGGGAAAGGTGAATTCGGAGAATGTAGTCATGGCTACCATCATTTACTAAGGGCTTGCTATGTACCAATGCCATGGTAGGTGCTTTATACACATCTTGTAGGTAGAGAGTGTATCTTTGATAATAGGTAAAAGAAACTAATGCTCCAAAAGGTAAAGGAACCTGTTTGAGGCCACTCAGATCTCTCTACCTCTGGAGCTCATACTGTCCCCCTTGTGATCTTGCTGTCTCATACCTCATAGGCTTGAGATGTATTCCACCCAGATGTTGAGACAAGAGAGATTTCTTTCTTTCTTTCTTTCTTCTTTCTTTCTTTCTTTCTTTCTTTCTTTTTTCTTTCTTTCTTTCTTTTTCTTTTCTTTTTCTTTTTTTTAAAGATTTTATTTATTTATTCATGATAGACACACAGAGAGAGAGGCAGAGACACAGGCAGCGGGAGGAGCAGGCTGCATGCAGGGAGTCTGATGTGGGACTCGATCCTGGGACTCCAGGATCACGCCCTGGGTGGAAGGCAGGCACTTAAACCGCTAAGCTACCCAGGCTGCCCAAGAGAGATCACTTTCAGACAGAGTAGACAGATAGAAAGTTTTTATATAGACACAAAAGTTGTATCTATGGGAAAGAATGATCAATTTTATTACATTAAAGTTAAGAACTTCTCATTCATCAAAAAGACACCATTAAGCAAGTGAAAAGCAATCCAGAACAGAAAAAATATATTTATAACACAAACAGCCAACAGGGGGTGTTTTCCAGGGTGAAGAACTACAAAAAATCAATAGGGATAAGGAAACAACCCATTATCGAAACAAGCAAAAGGCCTGAGTGGGTACTTCCCAAAGAAGGAAATCCAGAAGGCCAAGAAACTTGTGAAAAGGTGTTTGATGGCATTTTTGCATTGCTACCCAGGGAAAGGCAAATTAGGACTACAGTGAGATACCACAGCACCTCTACCAAAATGGCAAAATTAGAAAAACTTGCTATTTCAGTGTCGGTGAGGCTGGTGTACAGTGGAGACTCTGAGTCTTTACTGGCCAGAGGGTAAGTTGGTTACAGCCCCTGTAGAAAAGACCACATAGTATCTAGCAAAATGTAAATATCCGCATCCCTCATGACCTGGCGTTTCCTCTCATCACTATATTCCCTACATAAACGGATGCTTCTGTAGGTATCAGGATATGTGTATAAGATACATGCACAAGAATCTCTCTGGGTCATTGAATACAGCTAATGGCCTGGACCGATGCATTTAGCAGCTATCTGAAGACTCTGAAATATAAATGGTAGCAGACAGATTGGGGGAAAAGACTAGAATTAAAAGTACTGCCATACTGGCAGTGAATTTCTCATTTTTCCTCTGATGTTCCACGTCCTAGACTTAGAGCCCTACATTCAGCAGTGCACATCAGGGCACAACAAGAGGGAATTCCAGAAGACCTCTACTCAGGGCTCTGGGGTGGGGAAGGGGCTCTAAGGCTCAGGCAGAGGGGGAAATCTCAAGAATTATCTGTTCCTCTGTCCTTTGATGCCTTAGTCCCCAGAAAGTTCCTCAGTAGTGGTGGTGCTGGTTTCAGTGGCAGCAGTCGGGTCTTCAGGCACCTAAAACTAAAAAAGTAAAACCTTTCTCTCTGGTCAGAGGAAGTATAATTCCAAGAAGGTGGGATGAAGTCTTTTTTTTTTTTTTTTTTTAATGCTTTTCCCCCCCTCTGACTTCCTGCTGATTGAATTTGGGTACAGTTCAGGAAATGTGTAGCAGAATGTGGTAACCAAGATCCCAGCTTTCAGGCCAGAGAACCAAGAAGGGCAGGCTCAAGGAACTGGAAGCTACAAGGAGAAAGCAGAGAGGAAAGAACTCAAGAAAGCAACTCCAGAAAGTTACTTACAACCTTCTGAGCTAACCCCTGAGCTGTACCTGCATGTGTCTGATTCTAACCAACCTACCAAAGACTTTGAGAACTGATCTGAAAGGTAGACCACCACCTAAGACCCAGACTGGACATGGGGTGGCGTCCACAGAGGACACACCTGAGTAGGCTTTAAAACTGGAACTGACATTGAAACCACAACCCATGGAAGGCTGGTCAGAACTTGCCACCTAAATCCAGCCTGGTTGAGAATCTGGTAAAACAAAAATCTCAACATTATCCACTGGATCTATTTATATATTTTTAAAGATTTATTTATTTATTTTAGGGAGAGAGAATGAGAGAGAAAGAGAGCGTGCACGCAAGCAGGGGGAGGGGCAGAGGGAGAGAGAATCCTCAAGCAGACTCCCTGCTAAGTGCAGAGCCTGATATGGGGCTTGATCCAAGGACCCTGGGATCAGGACCTGAACTGAAATCAAGAGTCCAACACATAAGCTGACAGAGTAGCTTTCCACCGAATTTAAACAGGACCTAGAGTTTCATAACTTCATATTCAAAATAGCCAAGATATAATCCGAATTACTCATCATGTGAAGAACCAGGAAAATCTCAACAGAGATGTTGGAATAATTTGACAATGACTTTAAAGTAGCTATTACAAAAACGCTTCACACAGTAAGAACAGACAATATTAAAACAAAAAAGATTAAAAAAAAAAAAAGATTGAAACTGTTAAGCCCTCCCCCTGCCCAAAAAAAAAAAAAAAAAAAAAAGATATAAAAAAGAACTAAGTGGAGATAAAGGAAAAAAATACAGTAACTGAAATTTTAAAAAAATATGCTTAATAACAAAATAGAGATGAAGAGGAAAGAATCAATAAACTTGAAAGTAAAGCAATAGGAAGTATTCATTGTGAACAACAGAAGAAAAAGAAGAGTTAAAAAGTTGAGCAGAGCCTCAGTGACTCATGGGGCAATACCAGAAGGTTACTGTCTGCCGTTGGAGTCCCAGAAGAAGAGGAAAAGAGGCGCTCAAAGGAATAATGGCTAAAGCTCCCCAGATAAGGATAACCCCTCCCCAGGATAAGCCGGGTTTATCCTGCAAATAAATGGAAGGCTGGTTCATCATTCAAAAGTCAGTCAGTGTAGTCTGCCTTGTGCACTAAGAAAGGTAAACTGTATGTTCATGTTGATTGGTGAAGAAAAAACATTTGACAAAAATTCAACATCTACTCCTGAGAAAAACTCTCAGTAAACTTAGAAGGGAACTTCTTCAATTGGATATGAGACGTCTCCAAACAACCTACAGCAAACATCATGCTTTCATGGTGAGAGACTGCCCTCCCCCAGAGATCCGGAGCCACTCCTGCAAGTCCTAGCCAGTGCAGTAAGGCAAGAAAAAGGAACGATGAGAATATGGATTGGAAAGGAAGGAATACAACTGACCCTTCTCATAGGTGACATGATTGCCTACGTAGAAAAATCTCAAGGAATCTACACACACACACACACACACACACACACACACACACAATCTCCTAGAACTAATAACTGAGTTTAGCAAGATGATAGGATATAAGATCAAAACATGAAAAATTAATTGTATTTCTGTATGCTAGCAATGAATACATAAAAATAAAAATAATTTTAAAAATTAACAGTATAGGATGCCTGGGTGCTCAGTGGTTGAGCATCTGCCTTTGGCTCAGGTCATGATCCTGGGGTCCTGGGATCAAGTCCACATCAGGGAGCCAGCTTCTCCCTCTGCCTATGTCTCTGCTTCTCTCTGTGTCTCTCATGAATAAATAAATACAATCTTAAAAAAATAAAAAATTAATAGTAGCCCCTCTCCAAACCAAAATACTTATGTATTAACCTAATGGAACATGTATGGGAGCTGTGCACTCGAAGTTGTTCCTCTTCCATTTGTTCATCCCCCTCCACCCCAGCGTTCAAGCCACAGCCCTGGAAACCACTTTGTTGCCTGTCTTTTCTCCCTTTCTCACTTTTTCTGTCTTTTCGGGGTGTTCTTGTCCAGCCTTTCTCTAGCAGCTCTGTCCAAGGTACCATCCTCTCTCCTGGGTAAGGAAGCATCTATTGGTCTCCCTGCTCATTGGCTGCCCTCCCAGTAGTCCATTCTCTGCACTGTAGCCAGAATGATCTTTTAAAATGTAGATCGGACATATCTTGTTCCCACTGAAAGCTGTCTGCTGACTTCATAGTGCACTTAAAGTCCA